ATAAATAATAAATAAATAAAAAATAATAAATAAATAAGCCGAGGGTTCAACGTGTTTCGTTTGGGAGCCACCCAAAAAAAGTGGGGACATTTGCATTTCTTCTTTCCTTTTTTTCTCAGCCACCATAAGAGTTAGAAAGACTAGTAGCACGTCTTGGAATCGCTTTTGGGGTATGTCCTCTCCGATTTTGGAATTTTTTTTTAATTCTTACCACGAAAGGGCACACCCCTAAATTTAGAATCTTTTATGCTTCTTAAACAGTTACCGGCACTGTTCAAATTGACATCGACTTTTTCTTCAGTTGAATACATCGCATACGAACAAAAATTAAAAAAACGGAAGTCAACGAAACAATATTGAAATTCATTTTTTATGTTGTATTAAGAAGTTATTTTGGTTGCATAAAATTAGGCGTTCTTCAGAAGAGATTTTGTCATTTAAAAGTAGACATAGGGGAAAAAATTCAGTACATGCATGTTTAAATATCACTGTATATTTTACTTTTTCATTATACGTGATTATATAATAATTATATCTTTTCATTTGAAATTTTCAAGAAAACCTGCAAAGTTTATGTTAATATCAAGACCAATTATATGAAAATCGGTTGAGCTAATTGAATTTACGTTAAATTCTTTAAAGAGATGATCCCCTTCACCACTCCTCATATTTTACGATATAGAGCAATGTGTGCTGCATGCAAAATTCATACAATGTATTTTTAATGCATGTTTGTTGAGTAGATTTTAGGAAAAAATCATGTTTCTACTTAACATACTCGTACGCCCTCTAACGGCAACCCTAGAAACTAGAAAATAATTTCTAGCGATTTCTCTCGCAAAATCTTTTTCCCCAAGCTGTACACTGAACGATTCCATAGATATGTGACTTTTATTAATAGGACACCCTGTACATAAAACTTAAAAGTAAACTTAGAAGAGAGCTATTTTATTATGCTTTTTGTACGGTACTATCAAATTTGACTGCGAGAGCTAAGCCTTTTCGACATTTTCGGCTTATGTTTATAAAAACAATTGTTAATTAATAATTAATTGAAATTAATTTACACTCACAGAGTGATTAGATATTCAGTAAGGGCCTCAACTGATTTATAAAGCAAATCATATTCAGAATCAACGCACTCTTATGTTATTTATTCGACTGCAGTAAGTTTATTTATAGTACAGGACTGCATTCCAGCTCCTTACGTTGATGGTCAAGTTCAAGCAATTTTTTGTTTGGAACTACTGTTTTCATGAACACCTGGTTTTTGTGTATCTAACTGTATAATTAGTGAATCATCTCTACGTGATCTATCTACCGTAGGTAGTCAATGTAATCATCTAAATTTACGTTTTTTTTTGGAAAACGACACAGGCCATGTAAAAACGAACATAATTATTTGAAAATGCAGTTTTGGTAAGGGGTAAAGGGGCACGCGGGCGTAATTTAATACCAGATTTATTCATCGGACCGGTTGCATAAATGACAAAAGAAGAAAAAGGGCACAAATTAAACGAGGGGTCACGATGTAAGGTGTGAAACGAAGGCCGGGCCTTTGCTCCATCGTCTGTATTTGTACAAATCCTTCTGAGCGCATCCTTGGAATTAAGGGTGGTCTCATCCACTTTTACATTGTTAATAATAATATAATGTCACTTGTGCCACTTACTGTCCTTTTGTGTAGTTTTCATTTACGCAGATAAATTAATTCACTAAAAGTTTAGCCAAGTACCTACGTAAGTATATTACATAATACCATAGCCTTTGACGTAGGTATTATTATATTTTAAATATATACGTGTTTACAACTTTTCCATTAATTAAGGTTTTACTAATAATGCCGTTGTAGTAGTACCAAATACAGAACAATTGACAAAAGTTGTCTTCCTTGACTTTGTCTGGCATTCAATTTTTTGCGTTTACCTAAATCCTATTTTAATTTTATGAGTCAGTTTTTAACAAGCAGACCTGTAATACTTAATTAAAGAACATACCTACCCAATTTGTTATGGTAGTCCGGTAGATGATTTGAAGCAAGTTGTCGCAAGTACGTAGTATCTGTCATACGAAAGTATTGAGACAAGGAATATGTTTCAATAGCTACTGGACGCATGTTTTGCACCCATTACCATATGAGTGACATTGTATAAACATTTCAGATCAGCATAACAATCCCTATGCTTTTGTCTCTGAAATACTGTTGACTAAAATTCAAACCAGTAGCCACTCCACTGTACAGTAAAAACTCCTGCCTAATTGCTAATTTTTGACTCTGCGTTGCACTCAGTGTTCGAATCATTAAATAAAATCACTTGATAGGCCTGTTAGTGGTTCACGCAGTTTAAAATCTAGTTCATACAGTCGTTAAAGAGGTCAAAATTGGCCCCAATGATGTTTTGGTCGATTCGAAGTACCCAAATTACATTAAGTCCTTAGAAAACGAAAATTTGGACAAATCCGATAGCATTAATAGACCTGAAGAATCTAAAGAAACTAAGAAATGGAAATGAAGAAAGAAGAATTGGAAAGATTGAAGAATCCGAATGGGGAGGATTCGAACGTATAACGTTATAACGTATGGTTATGAACAACCAAGAGAATCTAAAAAATGAGATAATACTGAACGATTGCACGAAGCCGAAAAATCGAAAGAAACCAAAAAGCAGTAGTCGAAACTAAAGAATTTGAAAGAGCAAAGAAATCCAAAGAAACAGAAGAATAGGAATAATTTGCATAAACGGAATGGTCAGAAAATTCGAATAATTTGAAGAACCCGATGTATTTGAAGGATTCAGGGTCTTTAAGATTCTGAAAGGTCCAAGCAGTCGGTAGTATGTGATGAATTTGGAAAAAAGGAAGAATCCAAACAATTCGATAGGTCTGAGGGCTATGTAGTAACGGAAAATTTTGAACAATCCAGAGGATCGGGCGAATACAAAAATCCAAGACATGTATCTGAAGAAACTGAAAATACGAAGAAAGCGAAGAAACGGAAAATCCGGAGAGCCTGAAGGACCAAAAAAAACTGAACAATCAGCAGATTTGTAACTGAAGATCGGAAGAATATAATGAAAGGTTAAAAAAAATCAAGGATCCTGAAGCCTGAAGAATCGGATCAGAGAACCCGAAAGAATCTAAAATTCGAAAGAAATGGAAGAATGTGGAGAACTGAAAAATCAGACGGATCTTCTGATTCTTCAGTTCTCCACATTTATGCATTCTTTCGGACTTTTTAGGTTTTTTTGGTTTTGGTTTTCAGTGAATGATGGGCAGAATTCGGAGAAAATGAAGAAATTGGATTGATTTGAAAAAATTGAAGAATTGAAAGTTAAAAGAAGATTCCTAGGGATATAATGCTCTGAAAAATATGGCAAGAACCCCCACAGAATTGGAAAAATGGGAAGAATGCAAAATATCCTACGTGCCTGAAGAATTCAGGAAAAAAAAGAATAATCAAATGATAAAAAAGTAAGAATCTAAACAAATAAAAGAATTTGAAGAATCTCAAATTGTCAATTAGGGCAACAAGTTTGAGGTTCAGAGAGACAGCGGCGGAACAAATGCACGCCCAACCGCCAACATGCCGTCACTAGCGGTAACGACACCTGAAGGGTGAGAATCCTAAGAAATACCTCCCGCTTTTTACAAACGGAAAGGAAGTTTTCCTACAATCGGGACTTTGAATCCAGTTACAGCTAGGACATATGGTACCTCGGAATGCAGAGGAGGAACTTGCGAAACAGTACCTTCCGCCAGGGGCGGACTGTCACGGGGGGGGGGGGGGGGGATTGCCCCCTGGC